GGTTGGCCTTTTTTGGCGGTGCAGTCGAGAACTCTTGCCCAGCAGTCTCCACTGCCCAGGAGCAGACGGAGGCAATCAAACATGTTCTGCCCCGACGACCAGCTGCTGCCTCCACCCAGTCGTCGGCACAGATGCCTCCCGCTGCTCGCCGCCGAGGACGCCCCCCCGCGGCTCCCCTGCCTCCCGCCCCGCCCCAGCAGCAGCCTTCTTCCGGGCCACGGCGTGGAGGAGGCCGCCGGCAGGCGTCACAGCCCCCTCAGGCCGCACACCCCGCTAAACGCCAGGTAAGCGATGATCCTGATACGGGCTGCTCAGTGATGGAGTTGAGTTTTTCCCCAGGAGGCGGGAGCAGGCCCCCTCCTGCCCCCGGTGGAGGGCCGGGGGAAAAATCTTTCGTTTTCAGTTCCCGCTGCTCGCCCACGGGTGGGCAGCGCCCTGAGTTGGTTAAGAAAGACTTGACATCATCACTGAGCCCACAGACTGGAATGAGTGCGCTCGACGTTCCAGTGCGTCAGCCCACACATTACTCTCTGTCTCTGAGGGTGCGGAAGGGTGCGAGTGTCGTCCCCGGGCTACGCCAATCCCTTCCCCCTCTGTCGCCAGACCCCCGGCGGAACGGACCCCCGTGGAACGCTCCGCTTTCCCTGGTCCCTTCCGTCGGGGAGCGGGCTTCGACGCATCCGAGCGGGGTCATCTCTGCACGCGTGCCAGTCGACCCGCCACGCTGCCCCTCCGGGGGGACGTCTGTGGTTCACATGACCCCGTTGGCTCACTTCCTGGAAGCCTGGCTAGTGCTTCCCGGGATATCCCGCTGGGTCATCAGAACGATCAGATTCGGCTACGCGATTCAGTTCGCACGGTCTCCTCCCCGCTTCAGGGGAGTTCGCTCCACGATAGTTGGTGGCTATGCCCCACTCCTGAGAGCGGAGATTGCGACCCTGCTGGCGAAGGGTGCAATCGAGACGGTCCCTCCAGCCGAGGTGGAGTCCGGGTTTTACAGCCCCTACTTCATTGTCCCCAAGAAGACCGGTGGGTTACGACCGATCCTGGACCTGCGCATTTTGAACCGTTCTCTCCATCGACTACCGTTCAAAATGCTCACGGCCAAACGCATTTTCGAATGTGTTCGGTATCAGGATTGGTTTGCAGCGATCGACCTGAAGGACGCGTACTTCCATGTGTCCATCTTACCTCGACACAGACCGTTTCTTCGGTTGGCCTTCGAGGGCCAGGCATAACAGTACGCCCTTCCCCCATTCGGGTTAGCTCTGTCCCCTCTCGTCTTCACTAAGATCGTCGAGGCAGCCCTTGTTCCCCTTCGCGAACACGGGGTTCGCATCCTGAATTATCTCGACGACTGGCTGATACTAGCACACTCTCGAGCTCAGCTTTGCGAACACAGAGACTTGGTGCTCCGGCACCTAGCCCGTTTGGGCCTTCGGGTCAACCGGGAAAAGAGCAAACTTTGCCCCGTGCAGAGGATCTCTTTTCTCGGCATGGAGATAGACTCGGTCGCCATGTCCGCGCAGCTCACGAACAAGCGCGCGCACTCACTGCTGACTTGTCTTCGACAGTTCGAGGGCAAGAGTGCGGTTCCACTGAAACTTTTCAGAGGCTCCTGGGGCATATGGCATCCGCGGCAACGCCGCTCGGTTTGCTTCATATGAGACCGCTTCAGCTGTGGCTTCGCGATCGAGTCCCGAGGTGGGCATGGCATCGCGGCTCGCCCCGAGTCCCAGTGACTCCGGCATGCCGGCGAACCTTCTTCCCGTGGTCGAACCTCAGCTTTTTACGGACAGGGTCCCTATTCAGCGAGTTTCCAGACATCTCGTCGTCTCCACGGATGCATCTACCACGGGTTGGGGTGCCATGTGCAATGGGCTTGCAGCCGCCGGTTCCTGGACAGGAGCCCAGCGCCTCATGCACATCAATTGCCTCGAGCTGCTGGCAGTACGGCTCGCCCTGCACCGCTTCAGAGCGTTGCTCAAGGGCCAGCATGTGCTTGTCCGCTCAGGCAACACTACGGCTGTAGCGTACATCAACCACCAGGGGGGTCTACGCTCGCGCCAGTAGTCGCAGCTCGCCCGCCACCTCTTGATATGGAGTCAGAAGCACCTGAGGTCCCTTCGTGCAGTTTACATTCCTGGAGACCGGAACTGGGCAGCCCACGAGCTGTCTCGGGTCCGTTCCATCTCCGGCGAATGGCGACTCCATCCCCAGTCGGTCCAGCTGATTTGGGACCAGTTCGGGGAGGCACAGATAGACCTGTTCGCCTCTCGGGACTCGTCCCACTGCGCCCAGTTTATTCTCTGACCCGCGGCTCGGCTCGGATGCGCTGGCGCACAGCTGGCCACGGGGCCCACGCAAGTGTGCGTTCCCCCAGTGAGCCTCCTTGCACGGGTGTTGTGCAAGATCAAGGAGGACGAGGAGCAGGTCTTGCTGGTAGCCCCCTACTGGCCCACCAAGACGTGGTTCTCCGAACTCATGCTCCTCGCGACAGCACCTCCTTGGCCTATCCCTCTGAGACCGGCTACTCTCTCAGAGACGGGGCACTCTGTGGCACCCTCGTCCCGATCTTGGAAGCTGCACGTGTGGCTCCAGGACGGGACGAGGCAGGTTTGAGTTCGCTGCCACCTGCGGTGGCGGCAACCATCACTTCCGCAAGAGCGTCGTCCACAAGACACCTTATGCGTTGAAGTGGAACCTCTTCGTCAATTGGTGTTCTTCTCACTGAGAAGACCCCCGGAGATGTTCGATCGGAGTCGTGCTTCCTTCCTGCAAGAGGGGTTGGAGCGTAGGCTGTCGCCCTCCACCCCTTGGATTTATGTCGCGGCCATTGCCGCGTCTCAGGATGCAGTGAAAGGTAAGTCTATGGGAAGCATGACCTGGTCATCAGGTTCCTGAGGGGAGCGAGGGGGCTAAATCCGCCTCCCTCCCCTCCTGCCCTCTGGGGACCTCTCAGTAGACCTGGGTGCTCTGCAGAGGCCTCCCCTGGAGCCTTTGCAGTCGGTAGAGTTTTTGCCCTGTCCTATGTGACAGCACTCCTGATTGCATTGGTCTCCATCAGGAGAGTAAGGGACCTGCACGCACTCTCTGTTGACGAAGTGTGCCTGGAGTTCGGGCCGGCTTACTCTCACGTATTCCTGAGACCCCGGCCTGGATATATGCCCATGGTTCCTACCACTCCCCTCCGGGACCTGGTGGTGAACCTGCAAGCGCTGCCCCTGGAGGAGGCAGACCCAGCCTTGGCACTGCTCTGTCCGGTACGTGCTCTCCGCACCTATGTCGACAGAACGCGGTGTTTCAGGACCTCAGACCAGCTCTTTGTCTGTCATGGGGGGAGCCAGAAGGGAAGGGCTCTCTCAAAGCAACGGCTGTCCCACTGGATAGTGGATGCCATTGCTTTGTCTTACCAGCAGCAAGGCCTTCCGTGCCCCCCATTCCACTTGGAGTGTAGCCTCCTCTTGGGCTTTAGCGCACGGCGCCTCGCTAACAGACATCTGCAGAGCTGCAGGCTGGGCGACACCCAACACCTTCGCCAGATTCTTAATCTGCGAATTGAGCCGGTATCCTCTCACGTACTCGTTTCGGCCAGTTCTGGATCCGCTCAGGTGTCTTCGCTTGCTCGCCACTCCACTCCCCGGACTGGATAAGTGCGATATTTCCTCAGTTCTTCCATTGAAGTCTTGAGTCCTCCAGCACCGACGATGCGGGCACCACTGCTGTTGCGTTGGGTGCTGGCTAGGTGCCTCCATGCGCACGGTTCCCCTTGGTAACTGTCTCATGTGTATTATCCACTGTAAGCCTCTCTGAGCATGTGTCTTCCCTTGGCAAGTCTGCCACCCCTGGAGTTGAAATTAGTAGCCACCTGCAGTTGGTACTCCAGTGTTCCATATGTGTTCCTATGTGGCCATATGTGTATTCGTAAGTCCTCCCTTCGGTAGGCAGCTGGTAGCATGTCCCTTCCGGGATATGTTTCCCAGTGTACCTTGGTAATCCTGTGTCAAAGTCGGATCCCCAAAAAAAAAAAAAAAAAAAAAGAGGTAAGTCTCGGGGGTCCAGACTTTCGCAGGGCACTGGAAGACAGCTTGAAGATGGCGTGATGGCACAGACCCCCAATCTCCGTCACTTCTGACGTAACTCGAAGTGACTACGAAAGGGAACGTCTCGGTTACGTATGTAACCCTCGTTCCCTGAGTAGGGAACGGAGACGTTACGTCAGAAGTGACGGAGATTGGGGGTTTCGCATAGAAAGCCAATCCTCTTCGAGTATTTAAACACGAGCCAATGGCATGCAATGCCTTGGGGCTGCGGAAATTTGCATAGCGTACTCCGCCCTACTCCGTAAGTATAAAAGGAGGAAGTGAACGCAACCGCAGTATGTCTTCGCTGAGGAGCCAAGACTGAACTCGGCGTCTACCCAGCGATACAGCAGAAGTGGCAGGGAGACGTAACGTCTCCGTTCCCTACTCAGGGAACGAGGGTTACATACGTAACCGAGACGTTCTCTCAAGAGACTTAACCCTATCCTGGAGGACGGACTCCTACGAATTGGTGGCAGACTAGAACAGTCCACACTCCTTAGCAGAGAGAAACACCCTCTCATCATACCTGGCCATAGTTACATAGCAACCCTCCTAACAAATCATCACCATGAGAAAGTAAATCATCAAGGTCGAGTATTTACAGAAGTAGCAATCCGCTCTGCAGGATTCTGGATAGTTGGAGCAAAAAGACAGATCAATGGTGTCCTCCGCAAGTGTGTCACTTGCCGCAAACAAAGAGGTAAAACAGCTGAACAAAAAATGGCAGACCTCCCTTCTGACCGCATCAGCATGGAACCACCCTTTACTAATGTCGGCTTGGATGTGTTTGGTCCTTGGAATATTTCAGCTCGCCGTACCCGGGGGGGGGGGGGGGGGCAGGCCTTCAGTAAAAGATGGGCTGTAATATTCACATGTTTATCCGTGCGAGCCATTCATATCGAACTGATAGAGTCAATGGACACATCAAGTTTCATTAATGCGCTTCGCCGTTTCTTCGCCATACGAGGCCAAGCAAAGATCATCCGATCCGACTGTGGTACTAATTTCCAAGGAGCATGCAGAGAGTTGAATGCACTTGTGGTCTCGACCAAAGATTCAAGCGTGACCAAATACCTCAGTGAGGAAGGTTGCAAATGGATCTTTAACCCACCTCATTCATCCCACACGGGAGGAGCATGGGAGAGGATGATCAGACTTTCGAGACGAATCTTAGACTCCATGCTTCCTCAAATCAGCTCCTCACATCTGACTCATGAAATGCTGTCAACTCTAATGGCCGAAGTGTGTGCTGTGATCAACGCAAGACCTCTCGTACCCATTTCAACTGACCCCGAGTCGCCCTTTCTCCTCACTCCAGCAATGATCCTCAACCAAAAGGTGTGTACCCCGCACGCACCTCCAGGACCTTTTGAAGGTGCCGATCTATATCGGAAGCAGTGGAAAAGAGTGCAGTACCTCGCAAGCATATTCTGGGAAAGGTGGAGACGAGAATACCTTGCATCTCTTCAATCGCGCAAGAAATGGCAAGACAACAAGCCTAATATCAAAGAAGGAGACCTGGTCCTCATGAAAGATGATCAGGTGAAAAGGAATGAATGGTCACCAAAGCCATCTCCAGTTCAGATGGCAAAGTCAGGAAACTGGAACTCAAAGTTACAAAGAGTGGAACTGCTAAGATATTTTTAAGGCCTATTACAGAGGTTGTTTTGCTTATGTGTTAATTTACTCTGTGAATGCGAATTCACTTGTTGAAAATTCAAGTATGGCATTATGCTTAATACCAGACGGGGAGTATTATGTTATGACTAGAGTTATTCATTCTTCCCCACTAGATGGCGCTGTTTGCTTTAGTTTTAGTTGAACTTCCATTGGAAAAACTTTATTTGTTGTACTTCATTGTGACAATCACGCAAACTTCAGTAGCCATTTTTCCAGTTATGCGCAGCAGAGATCGCGTGCGGTTTTCTCTGGATTCCAGTGTTGTTGTGTAATGCCCCAGAGAAGCTTTGCTTGTAAGTTTATTTCATATAATTGTAATATTATATACTTCGTATCTGTATCTTATTAAGATGAGTATATTGGACGCACGTTAGCGGTTCCACATGCTTTATACGGACATTTCAAAGATCGCCATGTGATCTCGTAACAATTACTTTAACGATGTTAATGTAAATTTGCGTAAGTAGTAATTGTATTTTGGTTATATTCTAATAAGTATTTTTGTATTTCTTTTCAGTTTTCACAAAAATAATGTAACATTGAGAGAAACAACATGATTGCACTCAAGTAAAGAAGATAATTGACATCTTCTGAGTGGTCTTTGAAGCCTCTTCATCACGTTACATAGTGTTTAGCTATCTGTATATGCATGCCTGACGTACACGCATGCAGAGGACAGAATACTGTGTCAAGCCTGTTTCTCCATGCTGCGGTTACTGCCTGTTGGAGTCTGCGCTTGCCTATCCCTGCTAGCTCTACCTGACCGCTTACCTGCGACGATCATCCTGCCTGGTTTCTGTCTGGAGATTGTTTTCCTGTTCTGCGTTCATCAAGACGACCTGTGATCGGCAGACAGCCTGTGTTGATTTATCCTCTTTTCAATAAATCATTAACCAGCTTTCGCTTTTGGGTCTATTTCGAACTGTTACATAGGCTGCATAGATTAGGTTAGCCGGAACTGGGTACACTTTACCTAAATCTCGATGTACTAGTTACATCATAAGAAGAATGGCATCTACGCTAATTTGAGTGTCTTTGTTTATTCCGAGGTTTTCCCGCAGCCTGCCGGACGTAGGCCTGAACTAGGCCGTATCCAGATCTGACGAGGAGCTTAGCCTGGACCCGATGACAATGCAGTGCTGAAGTGGCAACTAGCCTCTCCCTATGGAGGATCCCTTTCCCACCCTACAGATAAAGCGTTCTGAATTTCGTTTTGCGTACCTAACCCATAGTTATAAAACAAAACTAAATTCTGTATCAAATTTATAGACAAGACAAGTAGTTTTTTTAGGCATGGTTTTGTAGGGAATTACAAACCTGCGCACATATATTCAAACGCACATAACTATAGAATCAATTCTTAATGCGCATGTAAACGCCATCAGTGTTTATCACTGGTTCACGTTTAAAGTCTGTTTAGAGCAGCCCGTTCTCATCCTTTAGCGTCACATAGAACGCTATATGACAAACCGGTGCTATACTACGCACATGGCACCCTTTATCGTTGATATTCACGCAAACCCAAGGCGTCATAAATCCTTTAGTGTAATATATAAGACTACCCTACCCTACCCCACACCTAAACCTAACCATCACAGCGCGTGTTATATTAACCATAACGGGTGCCATGTGTGTAGTATAGCGCCGTTTTGTCATATAGAGTTCTATATGACGCTAAAGGATGAGAATGCGTTGATTTAGAGACATTCATTTACATTTCTACCTTACAGTTACTGTAAATCCGGCCTCTAGTTCATAAGCGAGAGAGGAGAACTGGCCCCCGACTGAGTCTTTGGGTCACCTGATGGAGTTTTAGGACACCTTTAGGTCACTTGATGGAGTTTTTTGGTTCCTTGCCGATGTTACCTTTGGCTTGGGGATATTCAAATTAATTAACCAATCATTAATACCATTGATCAGCTCTACCAAACGTGGATGTTTTTCCACTAAGAAACAAACAATGTTATTATGTTTTGATTGATACTCTGAAGCTGCTTTGATCTATAGCCGCTTTCCGACCAAGTAGTTACAGGAACTTAGTTATAGGAACTGTCCACTTCTAAACAGTTCTAAGAACTACTCTCCCCCAAACTCGGTTTTGCTGCTTGCGTTTGCACTGGCCAAGTGGCCATAGGAACTGGTAGGAGGGGTAACGCAAGCACGACGGTCTTTATCACTAGACTTAGTGCGGCCACATACAACAGCAACAAACCAGCGTGGAGGAGGCTATTATTATTGCAATGTTCCTGTTCTGCCTTGCCGGGACCTTAATAACGGAGAACGAATGGCGGCGTTTAAAGATTATGCTTTATGCATAATCTTTAAAGATTATGCTCATTACAAATCAGTTTGACTTTATTTCCCTCATACAGAAGGTATTCTCAGCAATAAGTTCTTTATGGGGGAAATAAAGTCAAACTGGTCTGTAATAAGTCAAGTTGCTGAGATCCAGAGAGACCTGTTAGGGTTTAGTGGTTAATGACATGTGATGTGTTTTCAGCTCATTTAAATAAGGAGATTTTACAAGGAGTTTTTTGTTTGGCAGCTGTAACTGTTTTGTTATTGTATTAAAGTCCCTGTAAAGTCAAAATTAAGTATGTGTTCTGAGTTTGTCACACCACAGAAAAATGTGTTATTAGCCACCCAGCCAAATTTGAATGATAAAAAAGCCGGCAAGTACATAAAATAAGCTATCAAAATCTTGAAAAAATGAGCAGTTATCTCTGTTCTCCACTGGCTGTGCTGAAACCACGCCCAGAAGTGGGAAAGCTGTCGATGGTGATATTAGGTGAAACTGCTTTCGCGACGGGAGGATGAATGCTGAGGCAGGAGATAGTCATTTCGGCCCCGTTCACCAGTAACAGCGGATCATCAGTGAATCCCAGTTGTCTCTGAGGAAAGTTTATAAAACTATCCAGTGTAAAATGATCACTACAGAGGCGGGTGATCCTCAGCTCTTCTTCATCAAGGTTGGTTCTCTAAAAACCTCTTCTTGATGTGATGTGATGGTTTTTAGGGAATTTAAATGAGGATACCGATCTGTTTTGTACATCATCGCATCCAGGTAGCCTATGCATGTCCGTGTCGAAGGCATAGCTAGGTAGCAAACTGTAGGCTCAGCTGTAGTAACTAATAGTACTGACAGTCACTCGCGATTGAGCGGTGAATGCGAATGTGCTCGGTGTAATGATATCTTGTGAGACACTTTTGGATCCTAAGAGGCCACCGTAGCAGAAAAGGGTAACGTCACGAAATGGTAATAAAGGCAGTTGAATACTTACCAGCTAATGTGTCAGTCGCATATCTGTACATGGTACCAGGAGTAAAAGTATTAAATAGTTAATGTCAGTGTGAGAAAGACGGGATGGACGTCATAAAACCACCAGAACCATTGAAGCTCACAGGAAATATTGATTATGCCTGGAAACAGTTTAAACAGGCGTTTCAACTTTATTTGACTGCAACTGGCGCCAACGACAAGAGCGGTGAGAGGAAAGTGGCATTGTTACTGACTATAGCAGGAACACAAGCAATAGAAATATACAATACGTTTGAGTTCACGGAGGTGGGAGATAAAAACAAACTGAACAAAGTTCTGGAGCAGTTCGATGCATACTGTAGTCCGAAAAAGAACGAAGTATACGAGAGACATGTTTTTCGTTGCCGTGTTCAGCAGCAAGATGAATCGTTTGACTCATATATGACTGATCTGAGGCTGAAAGTGCAATCCTGTAACTATGGCGACATGCAGTCCTCCATACTGCCTGATCAGATAGTATTTGGAATACACAATAAAAAGGTGCGGGAACGCCTGCTAAGGGAGGGCAGTCTGAAATTAGAAGATGCAATCAGAATGTGCAGAGCTAGCGAACAGACTAAGAAACAGATAAAGATTTTTATGAAGCCATCTGTTACTACTGAAGCACCAGGGGGCGTTGACAGGGTGGTCAGAGCTAGCGTACCTCGCTCAGAGGGGGAACGTTCTAATGCACGTGAAACAGGATCAGACTACGTCATGAACTGTAGAAGCTGCGGTGGGAAACATCGCTTCAGGCAATGCCCTGCATATGGGAAGGTTTGCTCGAGGTGCAGAAAAAAAAATCATTTTGCAAAAGTGTGCCTTTCTGCCAGAGAAAAGAAACAAATTTATATGATGGAAGACAGCGAACAAGGCAATGATGATGATGACATATTCTATACAGACACTGTCACTGTGGAAAATAAGGGCACTTCAAAGCTGCAAGTTAGTGTGAACACAATAAATGTAGACAGGTGGATTGTGCCACTTAAAGTAAATGGCACAGAGATTCACATGAAACTTGACACAGGAGCCATGGCAAATCTTATCACATTAAAAGACTTCAAAGCTCTGCGCCACAAGCCAGTTATAGAAAACAAAAAAGTGGGATTGAGAGCTTACAATGGACAAATGATTGAAACACAGGGCGTCTGCAGATTACAAGTCCAGAACAAGCACATTAAGAGACATCTACTATTTGTGATAGTGCCGAAAGGAAAGGACTCCCTGCTGGGAGATCAAGCTTGTGAGGAAATGGGACTTGTTAAACGTGTTCTAAACATTGCCAAGACAGAGCTGAAAAATGCAGAAGTCACCACATCACAAGCAGACAACTGGGAAGTGCAGTATCCCAATATTTTTGATGGCATAGGGGTGCTGCCGTTCACATACAGCATTAAACTGAAGGATAATGCTAGACCTGTGGTGCATGCTCCACGTCGAATTCCTGTTCCACTGAGACAAGATCTTCGCAAAGAACTGGACAGAATGGTGGCATTAAATGTCATTCAACCCACCAAGGGAGCCACAGAGTGGGTCAACTCAATGGTCTGTGTGAGGAAGCCAAATGGAGCTCTCAGGATATGCATGGACCCAAAAGACCTCAATGAAAACATCCTCAGAGAACAATATCAAATTCCCAAGAGAGAAGAGATTCTGAGTGAGATGGCTGGGGCAAAGTGGTTCACAAAAC